GATTTCGAACGCTGTGCATGCAGTCGGCGTTGGACTGGAAGTACCGGAGACCATAAACGGTTTTCAAAACTTCGGTCACATAGTGATAATCTTCTCAATAAAATATCTTTGCTGAGGTTTTTTCGAGTCTTCTGGCCAATCAGAATCAAGATTGTTGCCGGAAGTCCCCATGGATAATAACTTTGCGGTAGAACTCTTCTTTATACATCCATGGGTACAACTTCAGATAAAAATGAACACATAATGAAATATGACCCCCGGTTTGATGATTGACAGGTCACAGAACAATGGGAGCTATCTACCCTTAGTCACAATTTAAAGTAAGTCACGCAGACTATCTCCTCTTTCCTTTTCTGCAAGATGTCAGAACAAAGTGAAAAACAAACAATGGCATAACATATTATTAATATGTCGGGTAGTAATAGATTTATTTATTTTCTTCTCAGAGTGTACCAGAATGCATAGTTTGTTAGTATTTCTAAAAATCTCCCGGGGGAGAATCCCCCCCAGACCCCCCCTGTTGAGGTTGGGTTTTCAGCATGTGTGCCTTTTTATATAGTTCAGCTTTGATTAAACCTTTTTTAAAAGCATACTTTAGTTCTGTGAAGGGATATACGGGATATATGCACTGTACTTCACTTTTATTAATATTGTATGCTGAAAAGGGTATATATTACAGCACGATCTTTTGTTGAATAGATTCGAGTGCTTCAAAATGTTGGGTCGCGATGTATTGACCAAGTAAAAAGTGGGTCCCGAGGCCTGACCAGTTGAGAACCACTGTTCTAGAGGCTGTTGAAAATCGTTTTTTTTCTGTATGGAAGTTCTATGGAAACATTTTGCAAACTCAATTCCAATGTTTTGAGACAGAAGAAGGAAGGTGACAAGTACTCACAGGTAGGGGGACCTCTTTGTCGATGGTCTTGCGCTTGACCCCGCGAGGGGTGGAGGGAGGAGGCATGACTGTCTCGTCCAGGGTGGTCCTGCTGCCCTCCACCGCAGAGGCTGACAGCATGCTGGGATCCTCCATGATAGTTTGGTCTGAGGGAAGGATAAGGGAGATTGTTAATGAAAAGTCAAATGTAGACGTGAACATAGCCTTAATAACTGAAGGCGTCTTCTGCCAGTGGTCCCTTTCCCCCCTCACAGAACTCATGACATGTCTGCACTGGGATGTGACCTCCCCTTGTCTCTTTGAGCGTGTCTTACCGATAACATCTCTGTGCGGATTCAGGACCTCTTCTCTGGGCACCTCTGGGTTCTCCAGCTCTTTGAGGAACTCATCCAGACTGTCTGCTTCGCCGCCCTTTCTCCTCTTCCTCAGCTCGTCGGGCACCAGAGGCGTCAAGCAGCGGGTGAACATCTGACACCAAAGATTTTAAAAGTTAAACTTCTACAAAAGTTTTATTTTAAAACAGCAGAACACTTTATGCAAAGTCGGTTGAATAATAAAGCATAGGGAGTGTTAGGGAGGACGGATGCTAGACAAAAAGAAAAAAGTCTACTCCGCTCAATTATGCATAAACACGTTTCTTATTCAGTATTCTGGAAGGGTAACTTGTGGGTGTGGGAGGATAGGGGAAAAAAGACAGAAACCAATCCCTTTCTCCACCTCCTGTTCCTTCAATGTTCTCCTTTTAAATCGCACAGCCTGAACTGAATGTCAATGAATGATACAATAAAATAAATCTTCCTTCTCCTCCTCTATTAAACAGTGCCTGAGTTTGACCTACTTGGGAGAATCAGACCTCCGGTGTGTGGCTTGCTCATTACCGTTCCGAGAGTGGTAATACTGCTTGTCAGTGATTTACAGATCTGGTACGATTCAAATAGTTACGTGTACTTTTTTATCCACAAATGCATATTTATGCCAAGCGATTGTTACCTTGAGCAGCCTGGCGTTCCACAGGGGCTGAGCGGGCAGAGAGAAAAGCTTCTCCACCCCTCCGGTCTCCTTCCACATCATGAGCTTCTTGGTGGGAGGTGCGAGGTCCAGAGTGGTAACGATGTCCGAGTAGTCCGACAGCTGGGCCCTGATAGTCTTACTGTCCAGCTCCTTCACACTGTCCACAATCAGCTTCCTCTTACGCTTCGCCTTGGTCTCTTTCACTGTGGAGTGAAGGAATACTATATGACTGCTTTGCTTACTCCATCACTAAAAATATATCATTTCGGAAACTGTTGTAAATAAAGCATTACATAAAGGATTCATTTTCAATTGAATATCAATGCTGCACGTTTTTTTTAAAACAGTCCTGTGTAGGGGTGGGCGATATTAAAAAATATAATATCACGATATTTTTCGACCAGTATCACGATAGACGATATTTTTTCATGTCGGTTATTATGGTTATTTTTCAAGTTACTTATCAGTACAACCACCTACAAGGTAACACAAACTAAAATAAAACAGAGTAACAGACCAAGATACCATTTCAAGCTGGTTTTAATTCTGCAATGAATCCCTGAATGAACAATTCAACAGGAATTTTGATATGGCTTCCTCAGTGTTCAAGTAGGTAGGCCTACACAACAAACGTTAACACTGGTTTCTTCACCAGGTAAAGTGCACTCTCTTGCTAAATAAAATAAAATATTCAAGGCACAGTTTCTCAGTATAAAAATTCACTTTCTGTTTTAGATAGCACTAGCAGTGATGTAACATTAATAAACATGAAAAGGAGAGTAAAACATAACTAGGCCTAAGTAAAACATCAATGAGGGAAAGTCAGTGCCAAACAATTAAAATGTAAACTTTAGACTTGAAGTGCAATCAAAGACTTTAGCATAACTGAACATCTGTTTCAAAAGGGAAAAACAATATAAATACCTTATTGATAAAATAAATTATAAGCCAACAGAATCAACCAAGACAATAAATGAAGTCCAATAATATCTGAATCCTGACTAGACAGCTTGGTTTATTACAATTAAATCACGGTAAAAATAGGTTAATTTTGTCGTAGTTGGTTTCCACCACAGTATTTACATGGATATAAGCCCCCCCCTCTCCAGCGAGTCCTGTTTGAATGACAGCCGCGGTGAAACTCCAGCGGTTAGAGCGATGAGAATATTCGCATCGCGTCCGTCGTGAACGCAGCATAATGCAGTTCAGAAACCACTGTTCTGAAGCTTTTAAAGCAACTTCGAGATTTTAACAGTATCAGGGGCACGCAGGCCATGGTGGCCGTAGGACGTACAATTATTTTCGGGGCTTCACGGCCAGACAGAGGGGCAAAGACGGCATGGCCGTCATGAAAATCCTACCCTGGTGCACTCGCAGCCCTCACATTCTATGACTGAGCGACTCTCTGTATCACGATAGATGTGATATCTCTGAAAAGGCATATCGTGGAGACCTAATATCGTCTCAACGATATATATCGTCATATCGCCCACCCCTAGTCCTGTGCATATTTGCAACGTTGCCTGCAACTGCACAATACAACCAGTAGTGTTTCATAGGTTAGAAAAGGTACAGCAACTTCTCTAATGGTGAACTAAGGCATATTGATAATCTTCATGCACTTTTATTTTATCTTCCTGCGTTTGCTATATTGTTGAAATTGTGGAACATTGAAAAAAATGGGAACCTTGAAGACGAGACTTTCTGCAGAATTGCTTTTGAGAAGAAGAATTAACTCCGAATTGTATACAAAAATAAAAAAAATAAGAAGTTTAGATACAGACATCTCTACAGGAAGGTTATGGGAGGGTCTTACCAGTGATGTCAATGGGCTCCAGGGCAAAGGCCTCCTCCTCATTGTGAACCAGAGTGGTCTGCTCTGTCTGGTCAGCCATGGCTGGCAGGGGCTCTGCTGGGCCGGAGTCTGGGCTCTCTGGACCCGCTGCACACACACACAAAATGGAAGTTCTCCATCAACATGCAAGTTATGCCACAGTGTGCATATAACTTATAATAACATACAACTAAGCGTGGTTTTCAGCTGAACTATACGATGTGCAGTTTTATAGTGTGCACCAACTACAGCAATTCGATTGAGAAGAAAGTGCAGAATTAACTTTTTCATACGCTGTGCAATAAGACAAAGTCAACTTTACTTACGTGACTGGAGGTTGTCGAAGTCGTCCTCGTCGTCTCCGTGATCTGGAGGCATCATGACGCTTTCTGTGAGGACTGGAGGGTCATCAAAGATACCTCCCCCATCTTCAGAGCTCAGTAGCTTATCAACTGGAGAGAAAAAAAAAAAATCAGGATTAACTTTTTATTACCGTAATTTTCGGACTACAAGCCGCGCCTTTTTTCGACACTGCGGCTTATATAACGGTGCGGCTAATCTATGGATTTTTACAGCTAACGGCCATTAGGGGACCTCCTAAATCTATGGATTTTACAGGTTACAGTCCACCACCTTTAACTCTATGGGCTCTATGGCCGATCCGCGCCCCCCACCTTTAAGCGGCGGGCTCCAGCAGGGAAAGCTGGAGGTCGGAAAAGAGTGAGACAGGTAGCGCGCAAAAGTGGAACCGAGAGTGGTACGAGAGCAAGACAGACAGACATTACGAGAGCGAGACGGTTTGTCCCCGTACCACTGGTTGAAAACCACTGCTGTAGATCACTGCCGGTACGTGCGCTGGGAGCGCACCGTTTAAGTTTGAAAGTTGAAAAGTTTGTGTGTCTGAAACGCTATGTGATACAGTACAGTTTACACAGCACAGTACATGTTCTGTAGCTACTATTGCACTAAATGCTAACACTTGAATACGTTATGCAAATATGCAACTTGTTTGTTGAAATGTTAATAAATGGGAGCGTATCCGTGCACAAAACTAGTTGCGCTAACAGGTGCGTCGGAAGGTGCGATCGACGATATACACAAACGTAACTCCACTATGAACTCCGAACTACACGACGCCACTATACGCTTAAGGCAAAACGTATTAAGACGTTTGTCGGTACTAGAATAACTGCGAAGGTGAGGCAGGCAAAAAATTTTGTAATAGCAGGTAAGTGACCCGGTGTTTCGCCAGAGTAGTCGAAGAAGCGAGTACAAACTGATTAACAAAGTGACACCAAACAACAACAGACTTCAGTACTTGCAATCAACCACGAGGTCATATTAGCCATGGGGGACTGAGTAGTCACTCTTTACAAGGCGCCACGTTTTTATTCACGCTAATTTTACGCAATTAAAAACCACATTAATAATTGAATTAATTACGCAATTTCAGGCCGGGATCATGTATATATTGCGGCGTCTACAAAATTACAGAATTAATTGGTGATACATTGTCCAAGCATGACGTGCTCCCTAACAGCCCTTCTCTCCCTA